AATATCAAACAGATTTAAAAAGGACCCCACCTGAGGCCTCACAAAGGGAATACAAATACAATTTCAAGAAATACGGCTCCACTAAAGTTTCTCTGAGCAACTCTACAGCTTGGTGTTGCTTCCCTATCTTCCTGCTCCTTCAACCACTTCTAGACTTCTTTGCCCGATTTCCCCTACACGAAGTATCCTCTTTCTGAACTCATCTGCCAAACCCCCATCTTCAGCTATGTGATAACAATCAAAATAAAATCGTAAACCCCAGTCAACAGGTATGTGATAACAGTATGTTTATATATCCTCTCTCTCGTTATCACATAGCTGCGGACGGGGGTTGGCAGACGAGCTCAGAAAGAGGATGCTTCGTGAGATCTATATATAAAAAACTAAGGCTGGCCACAAGCCTTGACCATCAACGTTGTGTTACTAAGGCCGGCTCCGTGCACCCTCACTCCGGCCCCGACCTCCGGTACTAAGTTGTGCTGCTGGGCTGAGACGATCGGGTTGGTCGGAACGAGTGAAACGCGAGCAGGACAAGACCGGAGCGGACCAGGATCACCGAGGTAGGTAAGATCGTACCAGGACTGGGGTTTCCGCAGTCTCGGACCGGTCACGGCAGCGCTTTTAGCAGTGACCGCCCCTCCGACTCGCTGAGTGAGCCCCCACCCCGGCCCGCGGGGGCCGAGACGCACGTGCAGCGACCACAGAGAGCCCCTCACGCCCCCTCTGCCGTCACGTGACGAAGTCCACGCCCCCGGCCTCCCATTGGCCCTCGTGCCGGCAGCCCGCTATTGGTCGGCGGCGCCCCCTCCCCCCCGCCACGTGACGGGGGCGAGTCACGCGATTTCCGGAAGCCAGTCAGGAAGGGAAATAAACAAAACAAACCCGAGCAGCATGGAGAGGCCGGGCCGGGGCCGGAGACAGCGCCGGGGCCGGGCGGGCGGCGCCCGGTGCTGAGGCGCCCCCTCCCCCGCGGACCTAGGGAGGCGCCAGGTGAGCGGCG